CAATAACGTTACCTTTCTTGGTCTGGTGGTAAGTGCGCCACAATGTTTTCCAGCCGATGCAGCGTTCGAATCATGCATGCCTCTATTTATACAGTTTTTTTGTTCTCGCGCGAGGTTGTTTTAGTCCCATACTGCTTGGCGAGAAAGAGTTGGAGGTAGTTAAAAGGTGCAAACATAAGCGGTGTTTCAGAAATGACAAGTACTGATGTCATTTCTCTCGCTAATGGGCTTGTCTAGTTAGATTTAATTTAAATTCTCAGCCTGGAAAGAAAGATAGATAGCCATTTGGCACAGAAAAGACAAAAAGAGACAAAGAGAAGACCCCATGGTGTTTGTTAGTTCTGTTTTTCGATTTTGATCGAGAAGTTTACAGTGCTTTAGGAAATTGCTCCAAAACCTCGTTTGTGGCGTCTGTAAAACGCCGCTGAATGCCAGTCTCAGTTGACTTTCCCCTTCATGAGCTTCTCTAGCATTTTATAGAAATGCCGCACAAAACAATTGGAGGCATTTTTACGTCTTCTAGAGGTGTTTTAGAATGCCGTTGTAATACTATACGTGTTGTAGTGTTAGTTGGCTGAATCCATCAACTTTGGACAATTGTGGGTACATGCTTTTTAAATATAGTAGTATAAAGTATAAACAACTAATCCTTCTGAGGAAGGAAAAAATTATGACAGTAGCGTACAGAAATGGTAGAAAAAGAAGGTAAGCAATGTATACACAACATAAAGTATGGTAACCAGCAGTAGTTGCCAACCTGTTGGGCTTGAAGGAGATTATTTTGATTTTGTACTTGTGCATCTTGATGAACTGGGTGGCTAGCCACTCTACTCCCCATCTTTTTAATCTCCATTAAGGGTCCAATGTTACTAAATGTTACATAGAAAACGAAATCATGAGCTCAACAGTTTATTTGCTAAACAACATATGCTGAATGTGTACAGCTCTGCCATCAAATTAAATCAATTCTGTTAGTAGAGTACCTTGATTTGTTAAGCCGTACCGTAATTTTTTCATTTTGAAAAACTAAATGTCATTATAAACGCTTGCATGTTTTCCCTACTTCTCTTGTTAAATACTTAGATAGGACCTTGCATATTGGATAGTGAAACCTTTCCCAAGCTCAAACATTTATGTTACTTCAGACAAACATAACAGTCTGCTAGTGGTGAATCTGACTTTTCTAAGAACTGATAACATAACACAACGTCTCCAGAGGCCTTGCCCACTTATTAGAGTCTAAAATAAAAAACAAAAACAGAGCAACCTTTCTCATCTTTGGCAATATTTGTCCTAAAACATAGTTGCACTACAAAGAGCAGCAGAACCTAATCTATTTGCATCTTTTAAAGTTCCTATCGAAGATCCAATTTCTGCAAACCCATCTTTATAAGAAAAGTTCTCGGCCACCCAATATGCTTCGTCCCATACATAGAAAAACTTACAAAAGGCTCCTAACTCTTCAGCACTTAGCAACGGTGAGTTAATAGATGTCTTAACAGGAAGTACTCCCTCCGTTCCAAAATAGATGATTCAACTTTATACTAAAGTTAATATAAAGTTGAGTCATCTATTTTGGAACGGAGGGAGTACATGACAACAGGGTATGCATCAGCAGCTAATTAACTTGGAACAGAGGTTTCCATTGGTACAAATTAAAAGATTAGTCAGACGAACCTTGCAAAAACGTTGCGCTTTAAGATCAGGGATGAGGTGCAGGGATGGTCAAGATGTCAATCTCCTCTCGAGGTGTCCAGATCCGGTGTGCTTGAGGTCGATCCGGTACTGAACCTGCTAATTTGGTGAGGTTAGGGTTCAAGAAAAAGATAAGTGCCTATGTGGAAGGGGGGAGAGAGAAGAGGTGGAGGAGGAGACCTACCAGGGACTGTGGTGCTCAACTGGGGGTCACCGACCGCTGCTCCCGGCAGCAGGACGGAGCAACTAGGGGTCACCGGACGCTGCTCCCGGCGGCAGGACGGAGCACGGGGCGGAGCAACTAGGTCGGGTGGAGGGAAGGGGAAGGTGAGGAATAGGACATGGGAGAGGAGAAGAACGAAGGAAGAGGGATCAGCGGAGGAGGGAAGGCTCGCCGGTGGCGGCGAATCGGAGCGCCATGGATGTGCGGGATTGGGGAGGACGAGAGCTGCGGCAAATCCAGAGGAATGACGGGGTGGGGGCCGGGATTTGGGTACAGTACGATTGAGCCAAATGGGCCGGCACGGCCCGTCCAGGCTTACACGGGCCAGGCACGGCACGGCCCGGCCAGGCACGTACATACACGGCCGTTCCGGCCCAGGCACGCGTGGTCGCCTCTCCAGCCCAGGCACGGCACAGCAGCCTCACGGGCCGGCACGCTGGCCCGATTAGCACGGCGGCCTGAGTGGCACGGGAAGGAGCGAGCAGCCGAGCGTCGTGGCGGCCGCGTTCGTCGGCTCGTGCCATTGCACCTGCATGCACGCCACTTTTTTTTATTGCATCTCAACTGCGGAACCGGCTCCTCTACCGTGCCCGCTTGGCACGGCAGGGTGCCGTGCCTTCTTTACCCCAGCGAAGCAATGGTCTAGCCCAGGAAACTACTAAAAGCCCATATCAGCAGCCCAGCAGCTCACCTGATGCCCGCTGATTAACAACATGGTTCTCAATTTTTTTATTGATTAACAATATTAGTCTTCTATAAAAAAAATTAACAGCATTAGTTCATGGCTGCATGTTCTCATGGCATTTTTTTGTTTGTCAAAATTTCGGTCGATTTAAATTTGGTTAAGTATATAAGTCGACTGTTGTCTGCATGTTGTTTCTCAACTTTTTTGTCTTTTCTGGATTTATAGTTTCTAATACTTGAATATATTTGCTAACTTTTCAAAATATGCAAATGTAGGAAATGGTACTGTTGCCCGCTCGAAGCAAAATACAAATATATTTTAACAAAAAAATGCTCTCCGTAAAATATGGCTGAGATTAAGCAAAACCATTTTTCAAATATGAGTTCATTTTCATTTTAGAATGTTGCTCATGTATATTTATAATAGGTATTGAGACAATGATAGTGGAAGGGCCCCGTTTTCAGATGTTTCTTCGAGTTTTGTTAGGACTTATGTCCTGCTCAGGAAGATGAGATGGCGGCGGCTCCTTCAATATTAAATAAATTCCTCCCCGCCTAGCCCCCGTCCCAATGGTGTGTCTAGTATCGTCGATGGGCATATGGGGATGTGTTTCCGGCGGATCTATCTTTGGTGGATTTGGATTTGCTTAGATTTGGCCGTAGTTTATCTACGTTCGTGTGTCTTCAGGTTGGATTCTTTCAATCTACGCTACTCTTTCTCGGCGGCGGTTGTTATTCTGCCGTGTCGGTCCTATGGGGTCTTAGCACGATGACTTCTGAACTGTGTATACAACAAGTTTTGTCCGGCTCCGGCGAGGGAGGGGCGATGACGGCGGCGTGCCTTCAGCTCGCTTTAGTACTTGTAGTCGTCGCTAGGTGGTCTACGCATCTGGGTGTATTTTTTTATTATTTATGGTGTTTATTGTACTGTCATGATTGAATATGAATAGATCGAAGTGTTATCTAAAAAAATAAAAGTAGAAATAGTGAGTTAGTTTTTCTAAGGGGGAAATAGTTTCTTTTTGGGTTTGGGAAATAGTTAATTAGGTGACATGTGCAGGCGTGTGATACATCAGATTTTTTTTAGTTGAACGTGATGCATCCGGTGAACAGTTGGGCTGATTAGATAAACTTTCACCAACACGGCACCCTGCCGTGCCCAGCAGGCACGGTAGAGGAGCCGGTTCCCTCAACTCATGCATGTACGTATACTATACAATATATGTACACCTCCTGGCTTTCTGAGACGTGCTAGCAGCCGTACCGTGCCGGGGCGAATCAACCTGTGGTTGAATGATTAGAGGGTCTGTGATATTCCTAGCTAACCAGAGTTCAAATCCTGATGCTCGCATTTATTTCTGGATTTATTTCAGAATTTCCGGCGATGCACATTCAGTGGGAGGAGACGTTTCTGTGGACGACGGGGTGCCTAGGGTGATTTCGTAAATTTCAAGATGATATGTCGGCTCAGTCTTTCGAAGGTGCTCATAGGGATAGGATGTGCGTGTGTGCGTTCATAGGGGTGAGTGTATGCGCGTGTATATGAGCATTTGTGTCTGTATTGATGTTCAAAAAAAAGCCGTACCGTGCCGGGCTAGCCAGCCCAGGCACGGCCCTAGCCGGGCCACGTGCCGAGCCGGCCCATGACGGGCCAAGCACGGTAAGGCCGGCCCATCTGGCCA